TGCTACAGATGTGGCCTCCCGTGGCTTAGGTCAGTATTTCATTGAGTAGCACCACTTTTTCAGTTTTTATCAGTATTACACTTACTTTAAAGAAAGTGGTTTTGCTTTCTTTAACTTTTCTATGCATTTTCTGAGTTTTTCTCACCTTAAGGTGGAGTCTTTGTGGCAGGCGCTAGGCATGACAGTCCCAGGCCTCGAGAGGGAGAAGGATGACATATTGGAAGTGCTCAACTGGCTTGCCACCCAGTGGGCCTAGAGAGATGAAAGCTCTTGTGTGCCAGTGATCTTCAAAAGGCTGTGTGGCTAAGCCTTTGTCTGATATGTTGTTGAAATACACACATCTGTTCTCTGTCCATGGATTTCACCTGACAAATGCCATCCAGCTGATTCCAACTCAAACGTTTAAAAAAAGGATGCTTGTTGCTGTGACTTTTGCCTTGCATGCTGTTGTGTTAGAGAGCGCTGTATTGCAAGTCACTTGTTTGAGGTTTGGAACAATTGTTACCTCTTTGGAGCTTGTATCACATAGCATGGGTGCTTGTGAGCCTGTCCAAGCTTTTAGTTGTTTTCTTTTCCCCTCAAAGTGCTGGATTTCTTTAAATGGAGAGAGCAGTTTGGAATATTTTGTCTCTGAAAATTGATTAGACCTGGCACATGTGTTTTAGGGGGTAGTGGGAACACCTAGTGAGAGGAGAAAGAGAGTGAGACAGCTCAAACCAAAGTTTCTCCCTCGCCTGCGTTTTAAAGTCATGTCGAGACCTGCCAACGAGAGACATTTTCTCAAGTGAACACTGGCTTCTTGGATGTGCTCGCTGAGGGGTCCCCACAAGGTTCCATGCTTGGGGATTTCATGTTTTTTTTTGAAGGGGCCCCCATTTCAAATTAGTACTTGGTCTATTTTGTCTTGGCAAGACGTGCAGTGTGGCCTTTAATATCAAGCTTCTTTTGAGAGTGTACTGGGAAAAATGGACCAGCAAAAATGTACCACTCAATGGTCCTGTATTGGCACATGAGGAGGCCCCAGTGCATATCGTGGCCCAACTGCATAGAAGCTCCTGGATGTCACTTGACAATTTGTGGGGGATTTCACTGCATTGGGAAAGGACTAGTGAATGCATACTCCTTTATGGTGAGACTTAAGCCCATGTTTTTCTCCCTTGGTAACAAAAGGGAGGTTGTATGTCTTTTTGATTGTTTTGATTATTTTTAAGCAATTGGAGTGTGCATCGTTTCTCTCTTCCCACAGTAATATTCCCATGGAGTAGATGTGTACGCAATATCGTGTTGTTTTAACATGTTTTCTCCACAGCCAAATGATCGCTTTCTTCCTCCAGCCTTCTGAGTTGCTAACTTTTCCCTTTGATCTGGCTGTTGTGGTGTGCAAAATCCTGTGTGGCCTCCATGTTTTGTTTTGCCACACTGCAACACTTTCACAGATGTGGAGGATGTGAAATTTGTCATCAATTATGACTACCCTAACTCCTCCGAGGATTATATCCACCGCATTGGACGCACAGCCCGAAGTCAAAAAACGGGCACAGCCTACACCTTCTTCACCCCCAACAACATGAAACAAGCCAGTGACCTGATCTCTGTGCTCCGCGAGGCCAACCAGGCCATTAACCCTAAGCTGATCCAGATGGCAGAGGACAGAGGAGGTAAAATCTGTTGCATGTTTACATTAATAAACGGATTATTTTCATGGAAGGTAGAATCCAGTAGATATGTGATTTCATTCCTAGGCTTAGGGCGAGTGTCCCTCATGCTCACATTTGTCATTAAGGCTTCAGCACCAAATAAGTTTTAAAATCACATCTAAGATGACATTTACTGAACAGACACTCATATCTGAATGACAGGCAGCTTTTTCTTCAGTAGATAGCCAGATGCAGTGAACAGTGTTGCATGGTCTGTGTCTGAAAACTGCTTTGTTTATCTATTCAGTCTCTTTGTATTGCTGCCATGTTGTTGTAGGCTTGGTGTATTAAGTTTGAACCCACATTACTCTCTCCCCTTTCTCCCTCTCCTGTTTTCAATTCATCCAGGTCGTGGAAGGGGGGGAAGAGGTGGCTACAAAGATGACCGTCGGGATAGGTATTCTGGCGGTGGGAGGAGCAACTTTGGTGGTAGTAGCTATAGGGACAGGGACAGGGACAGTGACAGAGGTTATGGCAGTGGGCCAAAGAGTGCCTTTGGTGGCAGTAAGGCCCAAAATGGTGGCAGCTATGGAGGCAACAGTGGTAACTCTAGTGGTAGCTATAGCAACAACAATTATAGCAACAGCAATGGACAGGGTAATTTTGGTGCTCCAGCAAACCAGGTGGGTGCCTTTGGTAACCAAAGCTTTCAGGGCCCCCCTCAGTTTGGGGGTATGCAGAGGGCCACTCAGAATGGCATGAACCACCCACCATTCCCCTTCAATTCTCAGCCTCCTCCACCACAGGCCCAGCAGCCACCACCCCCACCACCAATGGTGCCCTACCCCATGCCACCACCCTTCCCACAGTAAATATAATGTACGCACAATATATGGAACCAACGTGATTTCTGTTTAGTCTTGAAATCTTACAGTATGACAGTTATTATTAACATTATTCTTTGTACTGTTTAACTTCGTTTTGCTTACAGCAGGGTTGGAATTGAGTAAAATCCAAGCATTAAATGGAATCCTAGACATGTCTCCTTTAGTGCAACTATTATTGCTGCACTTATTTTTGTGTTTTTTGTTACATTCCTCAGTAATTTATTTTTACTAGGTAATGCAGTGTTTTCAGTTTGTGATATGTTTAAAGTGACGTTAATAAAGACTTTAAAATAAAAAGGGTGGTGTGGCCCTCTTTTAAAAGAAAGAAAATGAAAACTGCACATGTATGGTTAGAAATATTAAAACGTATTGTTGTGATGTGATTCTTGGTGCCTCTGAACCATATTTTGGGACCTTAGTACAGCATCAATGGTACCTCACTTACAGACCACAGGTGGAGGTCTTGTCACTAAACACTTGTTTTTTTTTTTTGTTTGTTTTTTTAAGTCATTCTGAAGCCAAAGAATGAAATAAGCCATTGGCATACTTGTATTAAAAATCATGGATGTTTTCAAAACCTTGATGTCTGCACCTTTCCTGAATGCAGTGGCGGGCCGCTAGATAGCTAAAACACAGATAACTGACTAACTGTATCACAACAAATCAGCAACTACCTACCTAGCAGTATCACAATAGATCAGCAGTTGGGCTAGTTATAAATCAATAGGTCATTATTATTATTATTATTGACTTGACCACTGTAAAGTCTACAGGAGCTGGCAACAACATCAGTTCCCATAGAGCCTGCTGATTAAAATGAAGTGATTGTAACAATGGGCATTTTGTTGTCATAAGAATATTTCAAAATTTCAAGCTGTAATAGCCTCGTGAAAAACAAAACTTTAAAAGAATCCACTTATGTAGTGATACGTATTTGTTAATGTTATACTACAGCCATCCTCATCCGGATTTGCATCCGTCAAATGCAAAATAACTTCTGATTCTGAAAACGTTCACCATTTGTTTACCTCCTTGGCACTATTTCATGTAGCCTACGTTTTGTATTAACATTATAAAAGACAAACAATCCACGGTGTGTGTGAAAACGCCTATTAATTTTTTTTTGGGGGCCTATTAAATTTGGAAGATGAAGTGCCATTGGACATTGTCTGTAACCCGGATGTTAAAGGTATTATTTCCGGGCTGTATATCACGTGTAACTAATATACATTTCAAACTTTGGCTAGGGGTGATCCTTGAATGAGGTAGCTCCGCAGTAGTGTAAAACTTTCAGATCAATGCAGTCTCTTTTAAAAGCACGGATAGGAGCTACAACATGCGGTGTGTGTGTGTATACTCTTATCTAGCTAACTAGTCTTTTTTGTAGGCAGCAAAATGGGTTATTCTCAGCTTTCTTTAAAAACGTTTGCTAAATTTAAGCCCAGCTTATAGTTTATATTAAGTTACTCATGAGGGTTCAGCACTTCAATAGACAATCTTTGAGCACCGTGATCAGTCAGTTATTTCTCTCAAGCTTCTCATCATGTTTACGCGCTGTGTTAGAAACGTCCTTTCCAGGCGTGCGTCCACATTACAAACGTCACGGTGCAGTTTAGCAGTGGCTCTGCAGCACACCAGAGGACGCTGCAGTAAAGTTACATCAACGAGTGATGATGTGGATCAGGTTAGGACATTACTGCAGCTTTGTGTGGACAGGTACTACATCTCACCTGGTCCGACTAACACGGAGCTGTTTGAGCGCGGGCTGAGCTGCAGCTATGGACCTCTGGGCATGGAGCTGAGGAGGAACCTGCTGGAGCAGTGGTGGCACTGCGTGACCAAGTCCAGAGCTCAGGTGTTTGGGATAAACACTCTGAGCAGCAGCAAGGATAGAGAAGCACGTGGACGAAGACAGCTGAGGATTGTTGAATCTGAACATTTAAAACAAATACTTGAGCAGCAGGAGCTGAACAAGGAGCAGCTCATCCAGCAGATACAGACGCTCCTTCAAAGCTCCCCACCTGTGAGAACAAGCTTACTTCAAGGTAAAGAAAGATTCTCCGTTTTCCCACTGGCAGGATTTAACATGCTAATTGTACTGATATATACTGTATTATGAATGTAATGGCATGTAGTTCGGTCTGTATAGCAAGGTGCCGTACCATCCTTGGCTCAGCGAGCCATCCACTGCTACAGTAAAATGAGACTGTGCAAGGCATTGGGTGCCTTCCAGCTTGGCAGAAGGCTGAGGCAATAACAGTTCGTTTTAAATAACTTTCTTGTTCCTTGCTTGAGTCACTCACATGTCATGTTTAGGCTTTAAATGGTCTGTGAAGAAGTGGGGAATTGTATTCATCTTCAGAGGCATTTTTGCATGAAAGCTTCAACTTCAGGCAAGTAAATCCTCTCCACTGAGTGGATGAAAAAATAAATATTAGATCAGATTATGTCAGTATGTAAAGCACTGATCAGAACAAAGTATTACATCAGTAAAATTTTGTAGACGGTCAGAAGGCTGGTGGATCACTCTTGGGAACATAATTGATGACATGAAGCAAACAAAACATTAAGTCAGTAGTGTGTTTGCCTCCCTAACCATCTCCTTTACTGGAGTAGAAAAAAGTAAAACAGTCATTAGGTGTTGCATTCCCATTTTGTTCCAGTACATGTGACCAAACCTACTGTGCTTGGTTGTCAGGTGCCTTGGAGCAATATGTTCCCTCGCTGGAGCTGGTGAACAGGAAGCTGCCTTATGGGCTCGCTGAGAGTGGTCTGTGTTTCCAGTCCTCAGATGGCTCTGGTTGGTGAGGCATCATTTACTCTTTGTGTGTGTATAGTACAATAATTGGTTACTTTTATGTTGTTGTACACTCTCCATTATTTAACCATTGGGGGTTTGATTCCTGGGTGAGGGAACTTTGGTGTAATTAAACGCTCATTTTCTGTCAGCCCAGCCGAGGTCACACAGACATCTCTGGTGTGGTTCTGTTCTCCTCGCACCTCTTCCCAGTGGTTGGATCACTGGAACCGACAGAGGCTGAAGTGGTGGAGGAAAGTGAGTGTCTGAGACAGTGTCTCCCCAGAAGTATGGCTGTAGCATGACATTTTGTTTCACTGCACTGAAGCTGAACACATCCTCAGCTTTACTCAGGTACACAGACATTATTGAAACAGCATGTAGATAGACATATTATAGTTCTTACTAGGATCACAATGTAGCAATATATTATTTGCTAATATTGTACAGTGCCAGCTGGAGTACAACAAGGGTTGTGTACCTGTTTTTGTTGGTTTCTCACAATGAGATAAATGAGCAGAGTAGACTGTTTCAAATGCTAATTCCTGAGGGTCAAGGTCATTGATCAACATTGCTTTTGCTAAAGAAGAATACATTTCCCTTTTTGGGTATTTTTCAATAAGGATACTGCACCATCCTTCACACTACACTCATTAATCATCCTGTAACTCCCCTAATTGATGTTTTTTTTTTTAATTCATCAGTTGTGTTTTAGACATCAGCAGTGAGATAGCAGGAGTTTTGGAGATGCTAATGGTTGCAGAGTCAGGGAGTGCATCTTAAAGACTTCATAAGTTAGAAAATCATGTTTATTCATCTCCCCTTTGCTCCTTCTTTTTTGGTTTCCAATCTGTTGTTCTCCAGTTTGCCTTGTCTCCATCTGACTTCAGCAGCATGGACATCCCAGAGCAAGAACGTGTAGAGGAAGCGTCTCGCGGTGTGAGGATCATCTACAACTTCCCGTGGGGACAGGAGCCTTTGGAGACGCTGTGGAGCCGAGGAGATGCAGAGCTGATGCAAACACACAAAGGAGCCCGATCCAAACTACAGGTCGGCCTGTCTTTATTTATTTAGTGTATTAATGTGGACACCAGCATTTTTGTATGTGTGACTGAGGCTTGTTATGCTTTATCTTGAGACGCTTTGGCCATGTTCACATTACTGGCCCTAATGCTCACATCTGATATTTTTGTCTTGATGGTTCACATTTCATGTGAAACATGTTATTTGCTCTTCTCCATTTGTTTCAGTGTCGAGATGGGCGCAAGTCAGTTCCTCACATTGTGTCTGTAACCGGCAACATGGACCGTGGTTTGATGGCCTTTCTGTTCAACTCACTCCAGCAGCTGAAGAGAGAAGACAGAAGGCAGAAGCTGCAGCACAGAAAAGTAATGATGCATAACTAACAGCTGAGTCACATTTAAAAAAAGTTACCAAGAAGGTTATGGCTTTTTTAAAATTTTTATAATAGTTTGATAATTACTGCATCTTTTGCAATGTGAGTTTTGCTTCTGTTAATTTCAGGTTCTGAAGTTGCATCCAGTGCTGGCTCCAGTCAAAGTGGCTTTAGACATTGGTAGGGGCGCCACTCTGGAGCTGAGACAGGTAAGAAAAACATTTAGCAATAGTAGATATAAGCGATTAGTTAGTTGTTGTTGTTGTTGTTGTTGTTGTTGTTGGTTTTTTTTATCAAATCTGTTTGAATACACATCTAAAAGTGATTCACTGTTGATTGAAAATGATCTTTTAAGTAATAGAATATTACCAAAGCATTCCCTGAACTTATTATTCATGTGCCTAGCAGTCAGAGGGAACTGACGGATATTTATTTGCTATGTAGGTTTGTGAAGATCTGCTGCAGGAGCTTATGGAGGCTAAGATCTCTGTGTGGCCTGGGTATCGTGAAACTATGTCAACATCAATGGAGCAGCTGAATGCCAAGTAAAATGCTCTTCACTGTTGTAATGGGTGCAGAATTTCTCATTAGGAGCAAATTAGTGATGCCTCTCCTGCAGCAGACTAATGTGTGTGCCTCTGTCAATGCACTGTAGGTATGATGAGATGGGAGTGCTTTTCACTGTGGTGATCAGTGAGAACACGTTGGAGAGCGGCCTTCTCCAGGTCCGCAGCAGAGACACCACCATCAAAGAGACCATGCACATCTCTGAAATCAAGAACTTTCTCTCCAGATACATTTCTGCTGCTGACAACATATGAATAGACTTTTATTTGGGTGACTACAAAGACAGTCTGACTATTGTGGTGCCTCAGTTGTGTGTTACTTCTAGACACATTGATTCACATCTACTAGTCAAGTGACTTTCCTGTAAATAATATTGTAATGAACAGGGTAATTATTGTACGTTTCCTGAATGTATGTTTTTTGTGTTTAGGTATATTTGGCTAAGAGCCCGTCACAACTTGGGAAGGAGTGACATGTTGCTCAGAGTTTATGTGCACCCACCTATTCTCTATGTAATCTCCAGTTCTCACTGGACTCAAGGACTCTTACTTGTGTCTCTTACTTAGAGTATATCCAAGGGAGGAGGCAGGTCACTCTTATTATAATACATTTGATACAGTAGATGCTGTGCCACTGTTTGCCCAGTGATAATTACATGGGAGCCAGACTCGGATAGATGGCGTTTTGTTTCTATCTCATTTTTTAATAAAATATACAGAATGTCTCTCTAACATTTGAATTTTTTGTGCTAAAGACTGAATGTTTCTTGAAGTTCAAAGAGCATTCTTGATTGTGAAAAAACAGCAAAACAAAACAAAACATAAAACCTTACCTTAATGTCTGTTTTCCAGCTGTTTGTGAGCTTTGAGTTTACATGACTTTCATCATATTTCATGTATATGCCTATCTCCAAGGGAACTGTACTTTTCATTCAGACAAAAAAAATCTGGCAAAATATGCATTGATATTGTCACCCTAGACCCAGACAGTTCCTAATAGTAATATTTGGGAGTTCTTAGAACTGCGTAAACTACTAAATCCTATCCAAAATAGTTATATCTGCCAAATAACTAAAAACAATCTTATATGCTATCTTACAGTTGCTGCCCAAAAGACTCTCTCTCTTTTCTTTTCAATAACGCTACCATTCGGGCACGTTGCTTATTATATGCACTGCGTATAAACAGGACATGGTCTATAGTCTCTACCTGACTATGATCCTGTAGGGAAGCAAGCATCCTCCGCAGATGAGTGGAGAGCATGCGAATGCTGAAATCTCGCGAGGTTTGAATGCAAATTTTGCTCCTCCCTATGTGGTCATTGGTCCTTGACTTTACTTCGGACTGAGCATGTGTATGTTCCGCTTAGCTGTTAGCATTTAGAGATGGCAGCAGACAAGCAAAATGACGTTAAATTTTCCCCTGTGGATGAAAATAAAGAAAAGTTGCCGGATGGAGGGCTTGGACTGGAAAGTATCCTTTATAGCAACAGCTGTTTGTTGACAGTTTTGTCTTTATTCGGCGGATCTGTCAGGCTCAGAAGCTAACGTTAGCTTATTTGCTAGCTGACTAGCTTAGAGGTTAACGTCAGCTAGCCTTGGTAGGCTACGTGTCATACCGAAGCATGATGTCGGTAGCAGACAAGCAAATTTATATGTATTGTCGCATAAGTGTAAGAACGTTATCGAAACTATAAATGCAAGTTATGTGATACTATAGACTTATTCGTTTTTAACTGACTGATTTGATTTTCAGTAGCAGCTACATTATTTTCTGCCACCTATCTCAGCGTTAGCTACAGACAGACTGGGTCTATACATCCACTGACACAATGACTGATATACGGATAATGAATGACAACGATTCCCCTGGAGTCCGGTGAGTGAATGTATAGATCACAATAATCCTTAACAGCGGATCACAGTTTTACAAATTATTAAGGAGTCCCAGCAACAACATGGCCTCAGGCAC